TGAATGAAAACTAAGGCCAAAGTAAAACAGCCCATGTTTCAATACATTGAAAATGACCAAAGATTAATGGAAAATATGTGAGCAGCACAAATCTTAGCTTAAACAAATTTATAATTAAAAAATAAAAATAAAAAAGTGAAAAAAAAAAAAAAAAAAAAAAAAAAAAGTTCATATACTTCGTATTTAAAACTGTTGGAATTTAGGTGGGATGGTTGAGGTGTTTGGATGATGGATGGAGTAGATTGGATAGTTGTGAACTAGGTAGTAGGAAGAGAGATGGAACACTTTGTACAAGGAAAGATATATATATTTTTTTTATTGATTAGAGCACTTGCTCTCCAAGTACAAGGCTTTAGATATTGGAAGACTTGGCTTGCTTGCTTCACTTCAAGGGCAACCCCTTTGGGGTATTTATAGTCCCATTTCCACCTCCTTATTTTCTATAGAACATTCTAGAGTACTCTAAATCTAGCACTTTCTTTTTCACATAATTTCCATATTTTATTTTCTAGAAACATCTATCTAGAATTTTCTCCTATATATTTTTCACGTTACTTTCCAGAAAGTTCTATCTAGATTTTGCGAGAACTAATTACATAACAACCTTTATGTCTTCTAGAACTTTCTAGAATAGTGCATCATTTTTTAACACTCCTCCTTGATGCACTATTCTGAAGATCCAAGCATGTTGCGTAGTATGTGAAACTTTTCACGTGGCAGCGCTTTTGTGAAGATATCTGCCACTTGCTCATTAGTGTTGCAATACTTGAGCACGATATCTCCATTTGCTTCAACTTCTCTTAGGAAGTGATACTTGATTGCAATATGCTTTGTTCTACTGTGATATACTGGGTTCTTAGCCATTGCTATAGCCAACTGGTTGTCACAATATATCTTTGTAGATTCATCTTGTTGTTCCTCCATATCTTCAAGTATCCTTCGAAGCCATAATGCTTGACATGCTGAGGCGACTGCTTTCTTCGATCCATCCTCCTACTTTAGTTTCTCGTTTGTCATCAACAGTGTAGCAACTGACTTACAACCATACATCCCAAACTTATTTAGTAGATTCTTAGTGTACTTCTTTTGAGATTCGAAGATCCCCGACTTTTCTTGGCTTATCTCCATGCCAAGGAAGTAGTGCATTAATCCCAAATCGCTCATCTCTGTCTCCCTTGAACTCTTGAATCATCTTTTTGTTATTCCCTATGAAAATTAGATCATCAACGTAGAGGGAGACTGAGAGAATATCAGTGTTACCTTAGGCCTTGACGTAGAGAGTATGATCACTCTTGCTCCTCCTGATCTGTGAAGTATATCGATCCTGCTGTACCAGGCTTGAGGAGCTTGCTTAAGCCCATATAAGGCTTTTTTAACTTTAGAACTTTGACTTCTTTTCCTTCTTCGATGAAACCCAGTGGTTGCTCCACGTAGATCTCTTCATTTAGTACTCCGTTCAGGAATGTTGATTTCACATCAAGCTAATAAATGCTCCACTTCTTCTGAGCTACAAGAGCGACTAAAGCTCTTATAGTATCTAGTTGAGTAACTGGAGCAAATGTCTCTGCGTAGTCGATCCCAGGTAGCTGTTTTGTACAGAGCCTTCGGAGTTGAGCTTTGTTTTGTAGATCCATTTAACTCCAATGATCTCTGTCTTCGGTTTATCAACCTACTTCCATGTCTCGTTCTTTTTTATCATCCGTATTTCTTCTTCCATAGCCTTCACACATACTTCTTGTTTTGATGCAACCTCAAAACTTTCTGGTTCCGTAGCTGAGAAGTTGCATATTTCATATATTTCTTGTATTGACCCTGTCTTCCTTGGAGGGTCGTCTATTACTGATGAAGGTGATAGCATCGCCTCGCGATCTTGAGTTTCAGGAGCTTCTCGTCCTTCCGCTTCTTCTTCCACGGAGTCTTACCTTGTCAACTACTCATTAAGTGTAGTAGTGCCTTGCTTTTCTACTTTCTCAGCTTCCCAGTTCCAAGCAGCATTCTCGTCGAACTCAACATCTCGACTGATGGGAAGCTCCTTCGTCTTTAGGCTATATAAACTCGATAGCCTTTTGATTTTGTGCAGTACCCCATGAATATGCCTTTCTCTGTCTTCTCTTCTAGCTTATGTCTTTTCTCTACAGGTACATGGACGTAACAAATGCACCAAAAACTCTGAGATAGCTGAGGGTTTCTTACCACACCATGCTTCAATAGGGGTCTTGCCTTGGACAATCTTTGTTGGGCATCTGTTTAGTAGATAAACTGCAATGTCTACTGCTTCAGCCCAAAACTTCTTCAGGAGTCCTTTTTCCATCAGCATTTTGATTTTGTGCAGTACCCCAATGAATATGCCTTTCTCTGTCTTCTCTTCTAGCTTATGTCTTTTCTCTGCAGGTACATTGACGTAACAAATGCACCAAAAACTCTGAGATAGTTGAGGGTTTCTTACCACACCATGCTTCAATAGGGGTCTTGCCTTGGACAATCTTTATTGGGCATCTGTTTAGTAGATAGACTGCAATGTATACTGCTTCAACCCAAAACTTTTTCAAGAGTCCTTTTTCCATCAGCATTGAGCTGGCCATCTCCATGACAGTTCTATTCTTCCTTTCTGACACGTCGTTTTGCTGTGGAGTATACCTAGTAGTCAATTGATGCTCTACACCTTCATCTTCCTAGAACTTGTTAAATTCTCTATTATACTCCTTGCCTCTGTCACTTCTAAGTACCTTTTTTTTTTTTTTTTTTTTTGATAAGTTAAAATACTTGATTTTTTTGAAAATTCCAATAACTTCGGATCTTTCTTTTAGGAAGTAGACCCATGTCATCCTCGTATAGTCTTCAATGAAGAGGATGAAGTACCTATTTTGATCAAGATATGGTGTCCTCATTGGGGCCACAAACATCAGTGTGGACTAGCTCGAGATGTTTCTTGGCTCTCCAAGCCTTTCCTGATGGGAATGGTTGCCAATGTTGTTTCCCTAGTAGGCAGCCTTCACATACGTCCTCTCTCTCTTTGATAGTTGGCAAGTTTCTCATCATATTTTTCTGATGCAGGATGTTAAGTCCATGGAAGTTGAAGTGGCCAAATCTCCAGTGCCATAGTGACGTGTCATCAACTTGAGCTTTCATAGATGTCTCTTTTGCGAAGCGCTATTGAATCGGAAAATTCCGATTTCTCTCCATTTTTACTCTAGCAATTTCTTGATTTTTATTTTTGGAATCATATATAGTGCAGGAATCTCCTCCAAAGTGTAGGGAATATCCATTTTGTATCATTTGACCTGCACTTGGAACATCTTTGATATATCTCGCACCTTTCTTCGTCTCGATTGCAATAGTTCCTTTGCCTTTAGTCTCCACCAATGCGCCGTTGCCCATTCTAACTTTTGATTTGACAGATGCATCGATGTTGCAGAAGATGCTCTCGTCCTTGGTTATGTGATTGCTGCAACCACTGTCGATGTACCATGTATCATTTCGCTCTTCAGAGGCAGCTTGGCAAGCATAGAATAGATGTTCCTCCTCCTCCTCTGAGAAGATGGCTTGATGATCGTTCTTGTAGGGGCAGACTTTCTCCGCATGCCCGAACTTCTTACAATTTTGACATTATGGCTTTCCACGATGCCAACAATACTTCTCCAGATGACTTGTCTTCTTACATATGCCGCATGGAGGATTATTCTTTCTTTCTTTTTCTTTTGAATATCCTCCATTTCGGGATTTTTCTCCTCCTTTGAAATTCTCTCTTGATTTTTTACCATCCCCAAATTTTTGAGTACTCATGTGACTGAAAGGCACTCTCCAATGAGCCTTCATTACGCCTACTCAGTGTAGGCTCATGTGCTTGTGGAGAGCCCATCAACACTGTGACTGACAGAGTTGATATATCTTTTGATTCTTCAATAGCCACAACTATTGAATCATATTTATCAGTAAGACTTATCAATATTTTCTCTACAACTCTTTTATCTGGAATATTCTCACCATAGGCTCTCATTTGATTTACTATCTCCATGATTTTGGAGAAGTAATCTTTTGAGGACTCATTATCCTTCATCTTACTATTCTCTAATTCTCTTCGTAGAGATTGAAGTTTAATAGTACGTACCTTAGCATTCCCTTGAAACTCCTCCTTAAGGGTGTTCCAAGCCTCCTTGGCACTTGTAGCTCCAATTATCCTTGGAAAAATAGTATCGGTCACAGCTAGCTGGATGATGAAGAGAGCCCTTGCATCCTTCTGCTTATTTTCTTTTTGAGCTTTGGTGAGGGTGGCTCCTTCGTCAAGAACTTCATGCCCTTCTTCAACAATCTCCCATAGATCGTGAGATTGAAAGAGGGTCCTCATCTTTATGGACCAGTAATCATAGTTATCTCCACCAAAGATTGGAATGGAAGGTTGAAATTGATCCAATGGTAGCCATGACTAAGGTGATGTAGCCCTATGCCCAAAGAAGATCGGCCTAGAGCTCTGATACCACTTGTTGGAATTTAGGTGGGATGGTTTAGGTGTTTGGATAATGGATGGAGTTGATTAGAGTTGTGAACTAGGTAGTAGGAAGAGAGATGGAACACTTTGAGATAATTTTTTTTTTTATTGATTGGAGCACTTGTTCTCCAAGTACAAGGCTTTGGATATTGGAAGACTTGGCTTGCATGCTTCACTTCAAGGAAAACCCCCTTGGGGTAGTTATAGTCCCATTTCCACCTCCTTATTTTCTCTAGAACATTCCAAAGTACTCTAAATCTAGCACTTTCTTTTTCACATAATTTCCATATATTACTTTTTAGAAACATCTATCTAGAATTTTCTCCTATATATTTTTCACATGTTACTTTCCAGAAAGTTCTATCTAGAGTTTGCTAGAACTAATTATATAACAACCTTTATGTCTTCTAAACAAAAAACAACGCTATGATAAAACACAACCAATTTTTGGTTAACTCAAAGTAGAGATGTTCTTATACCAAAATGAAAATAAAAACACAAGTAAAAGTACTACCTGAAAACCAGAAGACTGAGAGTTACAGTCCATTCCTGCACATAAGAAAGCTTTTGAAGGAGTGGATTCTGCTATTTGAACTCTTAAATATAATGTGTTGTGGACTTGTGCCCTGGTCTACTATTTGAACTATTAAATATAATGTGTTGTGCTCACAGATTTTTAGTTCACTAGGAGTTTCTCCTTTTAGATGGATCCCTCACATAAATTTTAAGCAAGATGAGAGTACAGTTTCCTATCCATTTTCATGAACATCTTGTATACACAACTGCACAACTGCACCTCCTATTTCACTTATCATGAGAGAGAGAGAGAGAGAGCACTAATTAAGATTGTTCAGCAACAAGCTACTAAAGACCAATGAGTACCACATAGCGCCAAACAGTAGCATAAGGTCAAGGGGCAAACAAAATAGTATTTGAGGGAAAAAATAAAAAAGACATGGTTACGCGTGGCTTATTTGAATTTATAATAATCTTGGGGAAAAAAAAAAAAAAAAAAAATTGAGAACAAGAACACAAGATCTATATAGCGGACCCCGAATAGAGTGGACAAGATTTTGTTGAATAGAGTTGGGTAGAGAATTGAGATGCATTAACATATCTTAGCATTCACTTAACATGCAAAATCTCAATATCAACCTCATATTATCACCAACCAATATTGCAGTATTTCCTTTCTTGAACGAAAGAATTATTTGCGTTTTTTAAACAATCTGTTTTTTTTTTGTGCTAAGGTTTTCAAAACTTAACACACGAGACCAACTTGTTCTCATGCATCCCAACCAAAGAAGACAAACCCTAGTCCTAAATACAGGTTCACCCAACAAGATTATAATTACTAACGCAATACATTTTTCCAAAAGTGTTAAGCCCGTAAATTATGACCATGGCCAATCCAATCCTCTAAAATAACAAGTATCATCAATTTCTAAGTGGCAATATGTGTTTATTTTTCTCCCGATAAGTACGATTCCATTTAAAAACTCTCAAGAGGAGAGTGCATCCCAAATACTACCGCACAAAAAAGAACCTGCTATACTTTCAGAGAATTGACAATATCCTTAAATTTTTCTATAGATTTACAATACCACCCATGAACCCAAAATAATAAATAATTCAGACTTAAGAATTAAGAACCCAAGAGGGAACATCCTCTCCAACAAACCACCTCCTATTGCGCTCCAGCCACGAACCCCACCACAAACAGAGGGGTAACTCTCCATGCATCAAGGGCTGGCCTCCGCACTATACAACCCTTCCAAGTCTCAATAAGACTTCTCGTGGAATCTGGCATAGCCCAATTAATGCCAATCAAAGCAAAAAGAAGCTCCCACTAATCCCTAGCCATGGGACAGTGCAAAAGAAGGTGGTTCACAATCTTCTTACCCCCTTTGCACATGAAACACCAATTCACTAAAATTTGCTGCCGCCACCTCAAATTATCAATCGTCAATATCCTTCCAAGGGCAACTATCTCACCCAATGTTGTTAAAGGAACGCCTCCTAGGCACGCCTAGGCTCGAGAGGCGGGTCTAGCGCATGTTGTCATCCGGCACACTGATGTTTACTAGGCGCGCCTTGGTTGCGCCTCGTCCTATTTGTCAGGCGCCCCTCACAATTTTTTTTTTTTAAATGATTATTCTATTTCTTAAGCCAACAACGGTACTTTTGGCAAACATAATAACCAAATAAGAAAGCCCAAGCGTATGAAAGAAGAACGTTTGTTCAAAAGAATAAACAAATAAGAAAGCCCAAGAGTCAAAGTATCATCCGAACATAGAAAGAGTGAGACTGCTAGACTAACAACGAAGCCCTAGTTGCAGATACGAACGACGATACCCTAGTTGCATATATGAACGATGAAGCCACGTCACTTCACTCAGGCGCGCAGTGCACGCATCGCCATGCGCCTTGCACCTAGGCTCCAAAGAACCTCTAGCACCTTGGTGCACCTTGAGCCTTTAATAACACAGGTCTCACCAAAAAGAGACACCCTTGGAGGGCTTTAGTCCTCCAAAGTACCTCCCAAGGGAAAGAAAGCTCCTGATTATCCAACAGACTCTTGAATAAGGAACACAAATCTGCATTAATGATCACAACCCATATCCGCTCATCCTCCCCCTTCCACACAAGTCTTGGTGGTAGAGGACCACCAATAACAACAACCTCCTTTAACTCCCAAACATGAAAGTCTTTCACCATCTGCACATCCCAAGTCACTCCACATCCTGATGGTGGAGGACCACCAAAAACTCAACAACCTCCTCCAACTCCCAATCATTAAAGTGTGTCACCATCTGCACATCCCAAGTCGTTCTAACGCTATCCATAATTATCAGCGACTGAAACCTAAGAATCCACTGCAATCCTGAACATTCTCGAGAAGGAACATGCTACCAAGCAGAAGCAGCATGCTACCACGCCACGTATCAGTCAAGAATCTCACAACACACCCGCTCCTAAGCCTGAACGAATATGTTTGGAGAACTTATTCCACCCCTTCCAAAGAAATTTTAAAACCCCCACCCCAGTTGGAATCCTCACCTCCCCAAACCTCCACCCTCTCCAATATTATTTTTTTGGTCATTATGTTGGTCATACATGCTGTCGTACACCCAACTCAACCCTACAATGGTTACTGACTGACCACAATTTCAATTGTGTGAAATAGGCAACATTACAGGGGAAACCCAAGACACCAAATTAATATATAGCTAAATTTGAATCAAATTCAACCAGCAATAAAGAATAGCTCAGATTCTGAAAGGCATAAACGCCTAAATCAGATTAGGGGTTGGGTTCAGCATTTCAAGAATCAGAATTGCCTATCTCGCGCACATTTTTTGAGCCCGTATACGAAAAATGAGTAAATCAATTTGGTTCCATTCTGACGTAGATATGCAAGAAGAATTCAATTATTAGTTACCAGTATCCAAATACCCATATGTGTATCATATATACACATATATTAGCTATAAGGAATAGGAAGGTTACCTGAACAACGACCAAGCCGATGAGCGAGGAACAATGCGATACAAGCGTGCTATAAACCCTAGAGAAAGAGTTATCTGTATCGGAAACATGGGCAATATATATATAACACACGCATAAGAGACACGTGAACAAGTGAACTGACCTGGGCCCAGCCCATACTAAGGACTGTTAAGACGGCCCTTTATAAGTATGTTTGTTTATAATTTACTATTTTCAAACGGCTGAAACACTTTTTAAGTTTTAAATATTTTATTAATGTCAATTTTACCTCAAATAATTTTGAATCTTCAGATCACATGTCTTGTTGTCACCCCTCTACTTTTCTGAAGGAACAAAAAAAAAAAAAGAAGAGCAAAGTTAAATTACAAATTTTGATCAACTTTCTTTCGTGGTATAAATGAATTTTTATTTTTAGTTTAAGTCCAATGTCTCAAAAGTTGTTCACTTGGGTTTATAATGAACGGCCATGTAACCCTCCCACCATTGTTTTAATGTAAAACCGGACCAAAATCCTCTCCATTGAAATAGGAGAATCTATTCCCCCGGTTCTTACTGTTCAGGCACTGTAGCGATGGTTAAAAAGAGCAAACAGGACTTTGGGTAAAAAAAGGTATATATACATACACACAAACATATGCGAAAAATATATACACATATACGAAATTATTCGTATTAACACTCAGATTTAAGCGCCAAATTGAAAATTTCAAAACAGATTTAGCACCTCTTTTAAATTTCTAATCTTCTTTCTTTCTTCTTCTCACAAAATATAGAAATTAACAAATTCCTCTTCCAAAAAAAGTCTCAGCTCTATTTTCCATAATTTTCTTCTTTCCAAATTTACAATTTTTTTCCAAAGGTTTGATTGAATATCGGAGAAGACGAAGCTACAGTGACGAAACTATAGCGCCTGTTCTTAATCTTCTTTCTTCTTCTCTCCCAAAATATAGAAAGAAATAAATTCCTCTTCCCAAAATCTTTGGAAAGGTTTGATTGAACACCGGGAAAGACGAAGCTACAATGTCCTCTGTTTGATTGAAGGCCGAGGAAGACGAAGCTACAGTGTACTGGTTTTGTAAGTGAATTTGTGAATCGTATAACATTGTATTTCATTAGTTTTGTTTGGTTATTCTTGAATTGTTATTAAATTGTAAAAAATTGAATGAGAAATTATGAAAATCAAATTATTAAATAGTGTAAAAGTTGTGATATTTTGTATTATAAGTTGTGTTATGTTTTAAACTTCCAATTTAAGATGTTAGAATAAATTTTCCATTGTATTCCTGTAATACAATGTTTTATTCATGATAAATACAACAATATAGTTGGAATATTGTGTATAATAATAAATGGAGGTTTTACACTTCCAATTTAAGACGTTAGAATAAATTTTCCATTGTATTCTTGTAATATAGTGTTTTATTCGTGATAAATATTACAATATAGTTGGGATATTGTGTATAATAATAAATGGAGGTTGAATGGTGGTTTTACACTTCCAATTTAAGATGTTAGAATAAATTTTCCATTGTATTCCTATAAGTTTCCAATGAGAGTTATGATTTTTCATTATAAATAAGCCGAAAAAAGTTTGCAAGTCCATGTTTAATTTGAAAAAAGTTAAATGAATAATTGAACATAGTTGTAAATTTTATGAAAATAGAAGGCCCAAAAAGGTTGGAAATGCATGTTTGAGTTGGAAAAACTTAAATAAATCATTGGTTTTATTATTTGTAGCAAAATTAAAATATGTACAGTAGAGGAAGTTGGATCCCTGATACATTATACTATCTTGAATAATATTAATAGGTCAAAAAAAAATTCCAATTAATAATCCATACCTACAAGACAGCCCTTTGTTCAAATTTTATTTTTTTAATATTGTAGGTTTCTGATTGGAATGGAAGAGGTATTAAATAACATCCAAGACACCACATATACAAAAAACGCTCCTATTGCAAGGACCGATGTCGTAGAATGGAAACCAAGAATAAGTATGAAGTTTGAAACTGAGGAAGAGGTATATGATTTTTATAATTCATATGCCGGTCGAGTCAGTTTTAGCATCCGCAAAGAGTATTTTAATAAGAGCAAGAAGACTGGTAAACTGTCATCGAGATTGTTAACATGCTGCAAGGAGGGTTTCAGGATTGATGACATTCGGGACAATAATACAAAGACTCCCAGGGCCAAAACACGAACTGGTTGCCTTGCTGAAATGCTTATACAAGTTTCCAAGTATACCCATAAGTTGGAAGTTACAAAATTTGTTGAAAGCCACAACCATCCATTGATGATTGATAAATGCATGCACATGCTGCCGTCCCAACGTAAAATTAGCCGCATTCAAGCCATTGATTTGGAATTGGCTTCTGATTTAGGAATAAGCCCCCGCAATTCATATGAGTTGATGGGAAGGCAAGCTGGTAGAAAAGAATCAATCGGGTATATGAAGTTGGATTTACTAAACCATATAAGGACCCGAAGACAAACTGAGCTTGAATATGGAAAGGCAACATGGCTAATGAAATATTTTGAATTTTTTTGTATGAGATTTAATTTACAAGGATGTACATAGTTTGAAATTGAATTGTGGCATGATATTAAATTAGACCTTAATATGTTCATTAACATGTATTAAAATTGGAGTATTTAGTAAAGCACTGCAACTTTTATTTAATTATTTTCTTTTATGAAGATTTAATTAAAATGGTTGTAACTAGCATGGAACCCAAATGTAATGTCATATTAAATTAAGCTTTAGTATGTTCTTCCACATATGTGAATTTGAGAGCATTTGGAGTTGTTTTAAAATCTAGTAATAACTAATTAATTAGATTTATTAATATTTATTTTAAGTGTTTTAATCTCTTAAATGGATTTTTAACTTGATAGTGTTGATCAGCATGCTATGTTCTTCCATATGTATTAAATTGAGAATATTTGAAAAGGTTTTAAAACTTTTATTTAATTGTTTTCTTGTATGAAAGTTAAATTCACCTAGTTGTATCTAGCTTAGAATTAACTTATGATATGATATTAAATTAGGTCTTGGCATGTTCCTTGGCATACTTGAAATTGAGAGCATTTAGTTGAGTTTTAGAATCTAGAGATTTTAATTAAAAGAATTAATTCGAATCCATTTAATGGTTCCATTGTCTTGGTTATGTTTTAACTTGATATTTGGAATGACTATGACTTATTTACTAGCACGTATTAATTTGAGACCTTTTTGAATTGCTTTATAACCTTGAGAATTTAATTAATTAATTTAATTAAATTCCATTTGTATGCTTACGTGGAGGTAATCATGTATTGATGTCATATTCTTGTTTAATTTATAATTTGGAACTTGTTATATGTTTACATGATAATATTCCATGAGTTGAAGTTATGATTTAACTTGTAAGTATTCACATTTTACTTATATGACATTTAATATGCCATTGTAGCTTGAATGCCTAGGGCATAGCTTGTGTGTTGGTACGTGGTCGTCGCAACACTCCAAATTTGCAAAATACAATAGTGTGGCCAAGTTTTAAATTTATAAATGACACTACTACCTCTAATTAAAATAATATAGATAGGGTGAGTAGGGATCGTCCCAAGGGATTATGAGTGCACTTGCAATGGAAACAATATATAGGGTTAGTAGGTCGAGTGATTGTGATGACCCTGATTTTTAGGCCAGCGTGTCCTGTGATGAACCAAAAATTGACCCGATAACGGATCCGATATGCGGAAGCGAAAGAACGAAAATATGACAATTAAGCCCCTAGGGGAAAAATAGTCATTTTGCGTAGAAAATGACGTTCCTAGAATGTAAATTATTCTTGAGACACATCCGTGAATTCCCGTGAAGTCACAGAACTCAAAAGAAAGTAGCGGAAGCGAATTATAAGAAAACTGGACAAAAATAGCCTCAAGGGCAAAATGGTCATTTCTGAAAAAATATAAAATCGGGTGCTACCGAGCACACCACTGGGAAGAAAACAAAAAATTAATCAAGTTAGACTCAAGAATCACTTGATTCGGAATCCGGACGGAAGAGAAAAATCAAAACAAAGTTTTGACGTCGCCGAGGTCGTGAATAGTAACCTGGGCAAAATGCTAAAGTTCGTGTGCCGTTTTGAGGTAATAAACGATGTTTTCTGAAAAAACATGAAGAAGAAATCCCTCTTAAAATAAATTTTCTACCTGACCTTGCGAACGGAATCGAAAAAAACTCACTGTAAAATGCCAAAATGCCCCTCCATGAAATCTGATCATGAGGGTCCAAAAAGCTGCTAAATGAAAAACAGAAAGCTGAATTTTGCGATGGGTTTCTGGCACCAAGACGACATTTTCTGGAAAAACACAAAAAAGAAACCCCCCCTTAAATCACGTTTTCTAAGCAACCATATCGAAAGAAGAAAATAAAACAAATGTTAAAAGTCTATAATGCCCCTAGAACAGATTATGCAACAAAATGTCAAAATGAATCCCTAGGAGGCTCAATTCACAAAGGAAATGGTTTTTCCCAGAAATGGTCTTGCACACAGACGTAACTTACCTATTTGGACGTGCTACAATGGTCCATGACTTAAAAATACCACCGATGCAAAATTCGACCCCCCAACGGCCAAAAAGGCAAAAATGGACTTGAAATGGAAAATATGGAAACCAAAATTAGGAAATGATTTCAAATGACCATTTAGCCCTTGGCCACACTTCATGCAAGATAAATGAGACCTAGTGGAGGTGGCGGAACACACTTTACACCACCCGATTTGAAAATGAACCCTTAAAGGCTCGGATTCTACTATTTTAGCCTAAAATGCAATATGTGAACTGAAATGCAAAAATGAAAACTAAAGGGTATTTGGCCCTTAGCCACACCTCACATATGGCAAATGAATGCTAAAGGATGAATTTCACACAAAATGCACACACCGGTGCGAGAATGACATATCAAAACCCTAGTTTTCATACTTTTCACATTAAAGGCAAAATTCATCATTCTTCAATATACAAGGATTACAAATGAAGTTCAGCCCTTGGCCACATATTATATACATAGAATGAATACCAAAAAGT